TGTGTTTTCAAACCATGTCCAGTCAATTGAACTTGGCACAGGTAGACTCCAATCAGTATGTAGAAACATCTTAAAGATCCAGAGAAATTGGATGAGTTGGAGCTAAATTTCAAGTTTCATAGCAAATGATCTGACTACTTATGTCAATGTGACATTTCAGTTTTTTTCTTTTAAATAAATGTGCAGTGTTCTAAAATTTTTTTTTTTGCTTTGTCATTATGGAGGTATTGAATGTAGATTGACATAAAATCAAATAATTTAAACAGTTGGCTGCAACAAAGTCATAACATGAAGGGGTTTGAATACATTTTGATACTTTTTCTAGTTACTTAAAGGTACACTGTACTATATAGAAAAACCTTCGGGTTTGCCAACTCCTCTGTGAAATTTAAATTATAAGCAACCTACTTACATGCCAAAATTGTTATAAAATTGGACATTTACTTATCTTTATTCCAGCACTAACAGCAGTCTCCTTGCAGCATTCCACCTGACACCCTTTGAAGACATCAAGTGTGATACCATTGGTCCAATCCAGTGCTACTCATAGACGCTTTGTGGACATAAGGCACATGTGCAGCAATCTGCCAATTAAATGGTTCTCGTAGAGAAGCATTGGACATAATGCTTCTCTGTGAGGATCAGTGAACATGCGCAGCATGCACATTCACTAGTAGTGGTCTAACCGTTCAGCTGCTCAATTCCTGCAGTATACATCACACTTACAGGTACTTGTTAGTGTGATGTATACACCTGCAAATCCATTAAAGGCTACAATTTTAAGCCTTAAAATAAGTTAAGTATACAGACTTGGAGAATAGGACACAGATGACATATTTAAGGCACTACAGCAAGTTCTTAAAGATGAAACTGTTATAATGCCCAAGTCTTACTTCAAAATTGTAGTCTTTTGGACTGCGTGTAAACCTACGTACAAGCGGAGTCATAAATCTGCTATCAACTCTGTTATCAAGCATGTCTCACCTACACTTTCACACATTAAGCTGTACAGACGTTACTAAGACGACTATGCTGAAAGTTAGATAGTGCTGCAAAAAGTCCCTCTTGACTTAACATAAAAACTTATATTGATACCAAAAGTACTGTTTTAACTTTTGAAGCTCTAGCAAGTTTCTAACTTGTAATCACAATCTACGTTTAAATCCAAACGTTTAAAAACTGTGCCTGTTATCCATGTGCCCCGCATGTTAAGCGTGGGAAAAGCCAGAGGACTGCTTTTGGGGCACCTCTCGCCAGCCTGTAATGTATATTTGCACTGCAAAAATAAAGAATTAAAAAAAAAATTTAAAAAAATTGTAGTTTTTACCCATACCCTGCCCAGTCAAGTCGTAGAACAGTGTGCATCCAACACAAGTCTCCTTCACAGCTAACAGTGAAGGAACCAACATTGTGTCAGTAGTGTTTTTTTTATTTTTTTATTAAGCCATCATTAAGTGCTGTCAAAAGAAAAAAAAAAAAGTAGAAAAAAAATAAACTAAGCACACATTCAACACTCCTTGTAATGTTATCTGGTTCTACATAAATCAGTTTAAACTTTAAGGTTGTTTGTTTGAAATAACAAAATTTAAAAAAAAAAAAAATCATCCATGAATTGACATCTAAGCAGTCTGGGATATACCTTGCATAACAATAAAGATTCCACATTCTGTACCAATTTACAGCTCTCAGTCAAACCGACTAGATCAGATTTGATTTATGAAAGCAATAAAATTAAACAGGATCTTCCTAAAGTAAACCGATTAAATGAGGTTACTTGTGACACTAATTTAAATGTGTTTAAATACCTGCAAGTACTTTTTTTTTTTTTTTTTTCCTAACTGCATTTCTTTCTCAACAAGTCATAGCTCATCCAAACCACCTAAAAGAAAAGCCTCTGGGAATTTTATCAGACTATGATATCTATAAAAAGTCATTTTACGGAATCCTGTGCGCTATACCTGGCTGTTAAAATATGAAAGAGGTTAAAAATGCAGGCAAAGCTGTGGGTGTGTTTTTAATTTCTCGCTTAAAGAGAAAAAGAATCATAAATTATAATTAGAAAAGTATGGGGATTTGCAGCTGCGTAAACAAGGGAACAGCAGCAGGATTTCAGTAGCTCAACTAAATATAGCACAAGCATATTTAAAAATTGATCGGCGAACTGCAAGTCTCACGAACCTTTGTTGGTCAAAATCACTGCATGATGCCAGTGTAGTTTAATAGAAATTGTATGCCAACAGCTAAAAATATGGTAAAAAAATAAATACATTTTTAATATCCTACGTCTGAAGCAGAAAAAATAATTGTGCTAAATTTCAGACTATGAAGCATGAATATGATGTACTTGCTCAGGTAATTAATAACTTAAAGGACCACTCTAGGCACCCAGACCACTTCAGCTTCATGAAGTGGTCTGGGTGCCAGGTCCAGCTAGGGTTAACCCATTTTTTTTTTATAAACATAGTTTCAGAGAAACTGCTATGTTTATTAATGGGTTAAGCCTTCCCCCAAAGCCTCTAGTGGCTGTCTCATTAACAGCCACTAGAGGCGCTTGCGTGCTTCTCACTGTGATTTTCACAGTGAGAGCACGCAAGCGTCCATAGGAAAGCATTGTAAATGCTTTCCTATGCGACGGGCTGAATGCGCGCGCAGCTCTTGCCGCGCGTGCGCATTCAGCCCAGGAGGAGGAACGGAGGAGGAGAGCTCCCCGCCCAGCGCTGGAAAAAGGTAAGTTTTTACCCCTTTCCCCCTTCCAGAGCCGGGCGGGAGGGGGTCCCTGAGGGTGGGTGCACCCTCAGGGCACTATAGTGCCAGGAAAACGAGTGTTTTCCTGGCACTATAGTGGTCCTTTAATAAAGATGGTGAGTACATTCTTAAGGAAGGAATATAATATATATATATCTATATATACACACACACACACACACACACACACACATACATACATACATATACACATACACACGCGCACACAAAAAAAAAATCTGAAGAGAGAAAAAAAATACCCAAGAGAAATTAAACCATGTAAAAAACAAAGTACGCCCAGTTTAATTCTGTAAATTGAATATATAGAACTAGGCTTTTTCCAGAACGAAAAAGAATTACTAAAAACCAAAAACCCACAAGACAATTACTGTATTTTTCCCCATGTGGTTTTTTTTTTAGTCTAAAATTGGGGGTTTTCTTATACTGTCACTGCAGGAAATTAAAAACAAAAGAACACTTGTGTGCTAGTCGCATGTGGCTGGAGCTCCTTCAAAAATCTAATTATTAAGCCAAAGCACTAAGCGCAATTTGGGCACAAAACATGGCTACTCGCGGACAGAACACTTAGCTGACTGTTGGGTTCGCTACTGCCAGGTTCCTGTGGGCATAGGCTGTGTTGTACACCTGTGCGACCTGCTTAAATACTTGAAGCAGAGGAGGTGTTTCTCTGTGAATTTGATTGTGTGCATGGGTCCGGGAGATCTTGCGCAACTGCATGCTTCCTGTCAGGATTACAGTATGATCCAGCACGTAGAATTGTGTAACACAGAGGACTGATAGGCAACGTATACCTGACCTTAGAATGGCCGGACTAAGGTACCAAAGAATAGTCAGGAATAGCCGAGGTCAAGGGACACAGAAAGAGACACCGCGATAAGGAAAAGCCAGTGGTCAGGGATGCCAGAAAACAGAGAAGTCAAAATCAATGCCAAAGTCAAATTACCAGAATAACCAGAATGAATAACACGCTCTCGGACAACCACAAGGGAAACCACGACAGGGCACTGAGCAAGAGGAAAACTGGGCCTAAATACCCCGCCTTTGGATTTGATTGGTTGTAACCGGCCTTTGACCCCAAAGGCAGTTACCAGTTCCTATTTGCATGATTGCTGCTCAGCATAAACCCTGCTGTGGATTGATTGCTGCTTGGCACAACTTTTTCTGTCATGACAGTAATGTTGCTCAGCACAACTTTTCCATTCTGAACAGTAAATGCCATTAATCATATTTTTATAAGCGGATGAATACGTGACACTTCCTTGCTTCACTCTGGACCACATGGCTCTAAGCAAGATAGAAGCCGCAGAGTGAGGCCTTGCCTGGACATCCCTTGCAGGCAGAGGACGGTGCTCCAGGGAACCAGTGTCGGGACCTCGGGGAGCGACCTACCGGAGTGTGAGGGGCCCCAGGACCAGTGGGGGATCCGGCCAAACTGAACTTCAGTGCTATAGATGTTTAAAATATGCATTTCTTAATTTTGGGCTCAAAATAATAGGTAGCATCTTATGCACGTAAAAATATGGTAAATAAATTTCACAAACCACGAAGGAGGAGCTTATATTACAAGGCCATGGAGAAGAAATACTCTTTGTGATTTACATGACTGGAGGAGATTCACCAAAAGGAAGAGGAAAAGGCTCTATACAGTCATAATGATTTACAGGTCTAGAGTATGCGGTAACACAACATATAAATCCTTATTTAAATTTGTAAATCAATTAACGTGGATCGAACATTTTTATAGATGTGGTTGCAGGGACTGTACTACATACAGGTTTCTCACGAATGGAAATGAAGACACAAAGGGATCAGTAATGGTCATAAGGAGTTAGATCCTTTAGGCATTAAAATGTAATCCACACATTCTACTTGAAAAACTGCTAATAAACGGATAGACAAAGCAGTATTTCCTGAAGTTTTATTCTGTCCAATACCAGATTGATTATGCAGTGCATGAATACAGTGTGGTAACCCATCTGTTCAGTGTAAATGTGTACATGTTTAAATTGAAAATTCTCTCCCACCTTACACAGAACCACTATCCTTTTATTACCAATATCAGTTTGGGATTAAGGGGAAATGTTCTTGTGACAATAATTTAATCATTTACTGGGAGAGAATGCAGAAATAACGGCAAAAAGATTGGGTAATATATTTTGACAGACTTCGTATTAAAACACATACTTAAATTAATTTAGTCTTAATGTCAACTGTAAAAGTAAGTCAACACTCTAGTTAATACAGAAAAACCCTTCACAAAATCTTCCACTTAAGTTATATTTTATTTACGTATCCTTTTATGGTACATGTATTGCGCAACATAAAAAAAAAAAAAAAAATTAAATTGCGACTTGAAGACACCATTCCCTGCTGGGCCATATATTGGGTAAAATGTTCAGCTCTGTGACCCAAGATCAGTAAAAGCCAGAGGAAGGCTTGTAGAAACAGCCAATGGTACGCAAAAATAACACATCTGAAGTTCCTCCAACTGTGACGTTGGGATAACTGGTGTGACTGAAATATGAAAATTAGAAACGCAGCCAATACATGGCACTGCGGATACGATTGTAGTCTGGAAGCTGTTCAATGGGACCTAGAAGAGTAAAGAACAGGATGATTGGCACTTGTTACATGTGTAGAACCGTGTAGGTGCAAGTCATAATGCATAAATATTGCACTTACCAACTCCAGCAACAGCAGGGCATTTGTCATACAGATATTTTGAGCAAACTTCCTGCACTGTTTTGGCGCTGACAGCCTATAATAATAAGAAATTATACTGTTATAGAGCAATACAAAAATCACCAGAAAGAGCAAACACAGAAAAAGGTAATCTGTTTTACATTCACTAGCCATGGTTTATGTTAAAAGCCACTTGCTCCCAAAATAAGTGTTTCAACATCTGAATGCAAATTTCTATTTTTTTTTTTTTTTTATCCAGCTCTGTAAAATAACAATCTCTCTCTTCTGATGTGAAAGGATTTAAAACTATACTTTGACTCAAAAGGCCTGTGATCAAGAAGATGATTGGCATGTAGCTGTTCTGTGTCACAGTATGCAGATTTGAGAAGATACACAGCACAGACACGCAAAATCTAAACTTACATCAATTCTAGAATTCCATTCTTCCAAGGGAATACGCTGCCCATAATTCAGGATCTGACGTCCAATGTCTTCACAAACAAGAGTTGTTCCTACAAAAAAAAAAAAACAGAATATGAAAATTGCCAATAAAGAATTGCAGTATGGAAGTAGTAAGCAAGTGCTGGAGTGACACAATTGACCAGTACTCTTGGGGATGACACAAAACATACATACCATCTAGCTGGTTCACCAGAGCGGTTTTCAGGACATTTTTAGCTCGTGCCACCTCACTTTCTGTCACGCTGGTACAGAGACGCATCCTAACATTGAAATAATGGAGTTAACTATTTCACAGATTTTAAATACCCCAAGGACAAGTGCGCCCGTAGTTGAGAATTAAAGAATATATTCATTCCATTGCTATTGTTAAATATATAATATGTACATAAAAATCAAACAACTGGTGCCAACGCTGCGAAATGTAAGCATTACCAGAGATGAGTAACGTTTTCTAAAATTTCCTTTTTGCCTCTTTTTAATGTATTACATAAGTGCTCTATTTTGTGGTTTAACTATGGTGACAGATCTTGTTGCATGTATATATATATAAAAAAATAATAATAATAATATATATATATATATATATTACTTTTAAATTACAATTTGTACAGGTGTGAGGTGGGGCAGCTTTCCTTAAAGATCACACACATCCATCATTCATATATACCGGTAAATGTTAATAATATCATCAATATTTATTAGTAGTGGTATTACGTCAATTAAAGTGATGAGCTGGCTAACAAATGTTGGGATCCAACCAGTGGCTCACCATTCTCCCTGGGCTATATGCAGCATATCTTCGATATTATGTTTATCTGTAGCAAAGTGGATTCCAAAAAGTCCTGTGTCAGAATAACGAATGTTGAACGTTTGGTAGCTCTGGCAGGCATTGTACTCTGCTGAAGTTCTTCCAAGTCTACTGGAGAGATTCTATGGAAAAAGTTAACAAAACAGTGAGAGCAACTAATACATTTATTTGATATCATTACCAAATATAAATTGCAATGCCTCATGCCATTGTAATGTCTGCTTCTGAAACCTTCTGATGTTTAAGAATAAAATCGGCAATATAAAACTGCAGGTAGCAGCAATGATACTATAGCAGCTACAGCTGAGGAAGTTTGAGAATAATGATCTAAAAACAAAACAGATGAGGTAGATTGCAGTATGTGAGGATAGTATAAAATCAGCAGAATACGGATTGTACTTTTCTGAGTTTCTAATCTACACACACCTCGCTTGTAATTTATTGCAAACAGGCATGACAACGACTTAAAGGGATACTCTAAGCTTTGTTTCTGTTAAGGCAGTCCTAACCACACCTCCCTGGCTGTGACTCACAAAGCCAGCATGAAAAACAAAAAAAAGGCTTTATTTTCAAAGATCTTACAGCACAGCATGTTTACTTGTGAAGTTTTTATCTCCTGCTCTGTTAAATTAATTTTATCACACACACACACACACACACACACACACGTCTCATGCAGGCTCTAGCAGACAATTAACAGAGCAGGAGATAAATTATAAATTAAACACAAAGGGCAATGAAAATAGTTTAAAAATTAGATCATTTTTTCATACGAAGGATGTAGAGAGGCTGTGTGAGTCTCATCCAGGAAAGGTGTGGCTAGGGCTGCATAAAAAAAGTTTTTAATTTTTTTTTAGACTACTGACGTTTTTCAATTCATATGAAAGAGAAAGCAAGGGGTATTCCATTACTCTTTGGCATAGTGCGGTTTGAGGCAAATTGGACCTAAAATATTGAAGACAGTGTTCAACTGTCTCATCACTTTCCCTTACCTTTCCTCCTCCGTATGTTACATCATAGTTGCCAATGATAGAGTTGGCTACAAGCAAGGCTACATTGTCAGAGCTATTCCAGCCAGGCCCTTCTACTGCAACAGCGATATGGGCCAGTGGGAGGGCATCATCACGTGCACGAATCTGAAAAAATAGAAGGAAGCTTATTAACAGAAGAACTTGAGGAATATCTGAAAGGGGGTTAATAATGTTTAATGGTATCATAAAGAGCACACAGAATCAATTGCTAAAGTCTGGCTTGGCAAGATCATACCTCACTTCCAGTAAACCTACAGGGAGTCAGCAATGGGACAGCATCATTCTCATAGGTATATGAAAGACCACTGAAGTGACGCTGAGCCAGGTCACAGAGCTCCTTGTGATTAATTCCTGATGAAAGAAAAATATATAGTTTCAAAATTAATGGCATGCTGCTTAAACAAAAACCTGAGCTGTGCCGTATAACAAAATCCTACAATTATTCCAGGGGATAAAATAGTAAAAGCTTTTGAGGCAGTTCTGTGCATTCCCTAGAGCAGTGATTCCTTAACTTAAATGAACAAACATTCACTGTAAAGAAAAGGCATACACATTTGTTTAACCTTCATATCACATTTACTTTAAGCGTATTAGAGAGATATGCACATTTCAAGCCACATAAATTTTATAGTTTTAATTAGTTGCCAGATGAGAATCCCGATGTTAAGGGACACTATAGTCATCAAAATAACTTTAGCTTAATAATGAAGTTTAGGTGTATAGATCATGCCCCCACAGCCTCACTGCTCAATTCTCTGCCATTTAGGAGTTAAATCACTTTGTTTATACAGCACAAGTCACACCTCCCTGCATTTTACTTACACAGCCACCCTAAACACTTCCAGTATAGAGTCATCTGTTTTTACTACTTTTATTGCAAATTCGGTTCATGTTTCATGTTTATTTTCAGCCTTGTTCATCGCTAGCTAGACCATTCAGGAGCATCCTGTATGCTATTTAATTTCAGTTTACAGAGTTGGAGATAAATTAAGTTTCATTTGATTGAAAATTAAACCAATTTTGTTTTCATGTATTCTGTCAGTCACATGACAGCAAAGGGAGGTGTAGCTAGGGCTGCAGAAACAAGAGTAATTCAACTCCTAAACGGTAAATTCAGCAGTGAAACTTCAGAGGTATGTGCTATACACCAAAACTGGTTGAAAATCACTGCTCTAGAGCAGTTGTAGCAGACTTCAGGGAGCACATCTCCGCTGATGCTTTGTCAGCATTATATCTGTAAGATTATGGGAGATGTAGTCCACAACCTCTTCAGTGCCAAATTATTATTACAGAATGAATGCATAGAGGTAAACAAAAGAAAAAAATAATTAAGCAATAGTAAGCAATTTTTGCATGACAAGTAAAAAAAATAAAAAAAAAGTAGATTATGAACAGTCACACACATTCTTATGTAACAATGTTTATTTACCTCCAGCAGCTGCCAGTACCATACGAGGTGCTTTGAAATGGCTGTTAACGTAATCAACAAGGTCTGCTCGGGTGAGCTTCCTAAAATATATGGGGGAAGGGGGTGAAATTACTTTGTTAAAAATGTCATGAATTAGCACTGTGTTTGCCCTAACCTGACTTAAAGCAGACCGGTCATGCATACAAAAAGTGGTCTTCATTTTGCAAAGGAGCTCCCTCAAGTAACATGGCCCTTAACACCTGGCACGAAGTTGCCGGGACCTTCACCACAGAAAAAAAATAAAAAAAAAATAATATATAAGTCTCTGGAAGATCTGTATTCTGCCCTACATGAGAAGATGCACGTTTCCATGGGTCACTGCTTCAGACAGGTCATGGAAAATTGTAAGACAAGACTGAAAATGTTAAAAAAGGAATACTGATTAACCTCTTTAAAATGCATATGTTTTGACTGCTGAAATTATAGGTAAATTCCATTTGGTATACAGTCCCTTTTTAATAAAGATCCTATCTAAACCATAACCATTAGGTGGCAGTAGAGACTTGAGAAAATGACATGAAATGAAAAGACAATACATTCCCAGAGATCAGAAAACAATAAAGCAAGAGCAATGAGCAAGTGTTCATAGTAACTCGCGATTCCAAGGAGGGGGAAGGATGGACACACACACAGAGAACAGGTAAAACTTGCTTTTTTGCGTTGCCAACATAGTAATTTTAAATATTAGATTTTGAATTTCCACGATCTCCACTTTAAGATTAACAATGCATTATTTTCATTATGGTTTTTGGTCTAGCGATATTGCACACTTAATATACATTTGATGCATGATGGTATAAAAATGATTTAAGGCTTTTATGCATAAATGAAAAAATCCTGTGATTCACTTTCAAGCGATACTCCTTTTACAATTGTAGTGTGGAACTTAACTCTATAATAATAGTGAAGCACCTGTATATGTTATAACTATCAGGAAAATAGCACTGACATTTATAACTGTCAGAGAACATTTAAAGAGAAACCGTCCCTCCTCTTACACTATTGAAAGTCAGCAATAACTTGTATTAACTTTTTATTCTGATGCTCCAATTTCTTTTAAATGTATTTTTAAAGGGTTACTCCAGCCCTGATTAAATATACATTCTAAACGCCCTCTGTGGCATACCATTGAGGTCCACTGCCACCCTGTAAAAAAAAATATATATATATATTTTTTTACTTCCCCTTAATGCAGCCCCTGGCGAAGCTCCTGGCTCTGATTTTCCAAGCCCCATTGTGACGTCACCCAGCACTTGTATGGACCAATCTCAGGCTTCTAATAGAGACGCCTGTGGTTAGACTGATCCCCCAACTCAGAATGCAGGAGTACGCTCTGGGCTGGCAAAGAAAGGGAGGATTTACCCCACTTTGTGAACAGCAGAAGAGTGCGCTCAGAGGGTGGGAAGGGAGAGCTAGCTTCTTTGCATGTGCACTCCCTGCAAAGGGAATATTCTTATATTTGTCAGCTTTTTTTTTACCCTACTCTGTATGCCATCTCTATGTATACAAGTGCAAAGGACAGAACAGATAACTATGATTGAAATAAAGTTAAAATGTAGGTTCCGGTTGTAGGGTAGAAGTGTATGGATTTCTACTTTTCACATCTGTTAAATACAGAGAAAAAGTAAACATAATATTAAAAATCCTGAGAAGTGACAGTCCCATTGAAAAAAAACCAAAATCTGCTAGGTGTAGTTAAAGTTGAATGCTAAAATAACTAGGCAACATTATTAACTAATTACGGTATAAAACTGGCTGTATTCAATAACAAGCACTCATATCATTGTTAAAACGATTATGTTAGCACTATTATGATATAGATAGCTTGCTAAGGGACAAAAAAATAAATAAATAATATATAAATAATAATTAAAAAAAAGCTAAACTTTATTTTATCGTTTTGGAAAGAGGGTGGTGCAATTAATCTGAGAAATACATGACTTTTTGCTACCCACTTTGCATTCTCAGAAGGTCCCACAACAGTTCGGCTAAGAGCTGTTCCCTGGTAGGCAGTTGCATGCAGAAAATCAAAGGCAACTTCTTGCTGGTTGGAGTCGATTTCCTGCAGCTCACGTAACATCACCTGACGTGCCTTCTCAATTTGCGAATCCTCCAGGCTGCTGTTTTGTACCACATCAGCCAAAATCTCCACAGCTAGGAAAGAAATAAATCATTGCCAAACTGGACCCGCATAGTAACATTAATATTTGGAACCAAGCAATTAAAATGTATGCATAACATGTGGCTAGGAAACCAGTTTAAACTACCTTAGATCTGCATTACTGTTTGAATCTTATAATATATATTTGTTTAATACATTGTAATGCAGTTTCTAGGAACACATGTACCAACAGCATTATTTAGGATTAGATTTGTTGTTTAAGCACACCCCACTGAGGTTAAATTTGATTGAAATCTGGTGATTGTGGATGACAGGGTGCATTATCCTGCTGAAAGAGACCACTGCCATCAGGGAACACCACTACCATGAATGGATGTACATGGATTGTAACAATCGCTAGGTAAGTGGTATGTCTCAAAGCAACACATGAATGCCAGAATGCAAGGTTTCCCAGCTGAACAATGTCCAGAGTGGAACACCGTTTCCGCAGCTGTGCCTTCTTCCCATAGTCATAGAATGTGATGGCAGATAAGAACCATTCAGCCCATCTAGTCTGCCAAATAAAATAATTTTTGAATGGCCCTTGCTTCCAGGAGGTCTTTTAGCGCAGAATATTGCATTTGGTCATAATTAATTTATAAAATGCTACCATATTTTGCAGACTTGGGTTATAACTGAGCTGCTAGACACTGCTTACCCATCGGTAAGTCCTTCGAAAGAGCTTTGATGTAGATAGCTGTCTGCTCGCGTGATGTATATGCATTTAAATGAGCTCCCAAACTCTCTACCTCTTGTTCCAAAGCAGCCTGAGGGCGTTTCTTTGTTCCCTGAAGGAAGGTAAAGAATACAAAATTGAACCCAAGAGTTTCAGTATTCACAGAAAGAAAGCAAACCCCAAAAAAAAACATTTATTCAGACTGATTCTCAAGATGTCTGGAACTGCAAGTTTTAAATTTGAAACAGATTTTATTAAAAATTGAGGAGAGACAATAAGTGCCAATAAATGGTTGGTCCATTTATTGGCACTTATTGTCTCTCCTCAATTTTTAATAGCCAATTAAAAGAAAAAAAATGTTCTCAACCATATCATTCTGGCCTACCTTTTTAACTTTTTTTCTTTTAATAGACACCCATCCTAAGAAGAATGAAGACTATCCTATGTGAACCCAGACACCCTGAGGTTATGGACATTTATAGCCTAAAGAAGCGTCTGTTTCCACATCTAATTTTGGAATTAAAAATTATACATAGAACATGTTCTATTGAAGAAGAACATAAGATGTAGCTTTGACTTACTTTAAACAGCAGATGTTCCAAGAAAAATGCTGAGCCGTTGTTTTTTTCGTTTTCATAGCGACTCCCAGCTCCAATCCACACCCCCACCTGAAGAATTAATAAAAGGACACAAAGTTAATTCACAGGTCAATAAAGCTCCAATCCACGTAGCAGATTCTCATTCTGTAGATAGAGCGATAAAGCAGGACTTGCTGTAAGCAATGTCAAGCAATCAATGTAATTATTTTCTCCTTGTAAGAATGGGACAATATTTTATATATATATATATATATATATATATATATATATATATATATATATATATATATATATATATATATATATATATATATATATATATATATATACACACACACACACACACACACACACACATACACATATATACACACATATATATATATATATACACATATATACACACACACACACCATAGTGAGACACAGAATGTATGCAGATTTCTATATATATCATTATGCAAATGACCCTCAGTCATGTCTTCCTATCAAAAACTTTTAATATATATTTGAACAGTTACTAGAGGTATATCACTTGCCACCTTCTCATTAAAAAGGAAACAGTTTATTTTAGATTTTTGATCACTTCAACAGTGAATGCAAGCCTGAATATAAATAAGGTTACAAGATAAAATTCAGAAGATGGAATGGGTTCATGGATACAAAATTCCCTGTAAAACTGAAAGCCATTCTAAATAATATTGTCGACTTACAGTGCAGGTAGGCTGGCTAGATTCCTCAGATGCAATACGTAGTCCATTGTCCAGAGTAGTAAGCTGGGTCTCAGGAATGTTCTGCAATGTCTGTGCATAGGATACAGCAGACCGATTCCTCTTCAGACATAACAATGTAGGCTGGATTTGGAATAAGAAAGAAATTAAAAAAAACAAATAAAGTACACTGTGCAAAACACAATGAACAGTAAGACACATAAGCTTACAATATACAGTTCTAGAGTCAGGAAACCCAAACTTCAAACTAGCTCTTTGCTACATATATATTCAATAAACCATATAATAGCAGTGCTTTAGAAAGGAATCACTTCACCTTTTTTAAAAGTGGTACTATGTTAACTCTGAGGCAGGTAAACATGGGTTCTTTAACATTCAACTTTGTCAATTTATTTTATTCTGCTAGGATTTAAAAGCATTTTATTCTATATTCAATCTACCCATCTAGACGGAATCTAAACACGGCAATACATTTAAACAAGCAAGATATTTTTTTTTTTAAACTAAAGTGAGTATTAGGGATCGACCGATTATCGGTATTTTCAGCAATATCAGTATCGGCCAATAAAGATACCGATATTGCCGATAATACAGACCAGGACCGCTGGGCCCATGACAGGCAAGCTCTTACTTACCTTCCCAGCAGCTCCCCTGTGTAAATCTCGCAAGTCCCGCAGCCGTCAGAGCGTTGCCACGGGTTACCATGGCAACGCTCCGCGCGGCCACACAGGCTGCGAGAGTTAGACAGGGGAGCTTTTGGGAAGGTAAGTAAAAGCTTGTTTGGCCCCCACTGCAAAGTCCATGCCACCGGACCACCAGGGAATGCTATATTACCCTCTCTCTGGCCAGGTAACAAGCAGGGAGAGGGGACAAAATAAATAAATAAATACTGCCCCCCTTCTCTCCCCATTTTACACAAACACACTGCATTCACTATACACACACTACACAAACACACTCTGCATTCATTATACACACACACTACACAAATACACACTGCATCCACTACACAAACAGCTCCCTTGTCTAAACACACTGCATCCACTACATGTGGCATGTATATTTTGTGCATTAACCTTTAGAAATAGTTAAATTTTTTCAAAATGGTAAGTGTACAGAATATCGGTAATTTATCGGCTGTAAAAAAAAAAAACAAAAAAAAAAAACAAAATAAAAAACCTATCGGTCGATCCCTAATGAGTAAATAATGCCACAGTAGATTAAATATTCTCTAGGTCAGCTATGCTTTTAATTTGAACATTTTGGTCTAAAACTTGGAATTCACTGTGAACTCCTGATAATTCTTATTTTAGTGAATAAACCTGAAAACGGTCACACTAAGCACCATCATAGATTTGTATAACTGCAAAGGTGATAGTGTCTAGAGCACCCTGAGCCTACTTTGAGTTGAGACAGTGTGGCTTAGAATGGGAGATATTTGTAAAAAGTGAAGCAGATCTGATAATGTCTCAGAGCTATAAATTAGCCTGCTATGAGAGTATGCTACTTGCAAAACCTGGGCTGAGTTCTCTGTCAGAGAACTGACAGAACTGAGTCACAAACAATGGCTCAGCCAACAGCTGTACATGAACACTGAACCACGCTACAAGTAAACCGGTCAGTTTATAGAGAAATTTCACTTATCCTTAATGGTTTAATGGGATAATATAAGAATATCTTCGTGCAATGGCATGCAGACCAACTAAATAATGCAGAGAGTAACATGGAAGGCAAATATGAATGATCACGGTGCATATAGACAATGGCGAAATATATGCACAAAACAGACAAAACTGGCCAAGGCCCAATATTTCTATGAAAATCTGAACAGTAACATCTCAAACCCTAGAAACTTTTGGAAAGTCATAAATAAACTACAAACTCCCCAATCCACTCCCAACCCTCCACTGTCAAAATGGGTAACCAAACCCTGCAACTTCCCTTAGATGTAGCAAATGCCTTTAACAATTATTTTGTCGGATGCTCTACTGCCCTGATTGCCAAGCTAATAAATGACACGCATCCTGAAACTACAAATGTGGATCAGGCCCCACTAAATTTGCAAAGGCCCAATATAGATAAGTTTAATTTTAGACCTGTACCTGTTAGTGTCATTAAAAAACATCTTAATAATCTAAAAATGAAAAACCAGTCCGGACCTGATCAAATCCCAGCAATGCTGTTGAAGCTCAGTGCGCCGGCAATTGCTAAACCCGTCTCAACTCTAATTAATGAATCATTGGTGTCTGGATACATACCCAAACTTTGGAAGACTGCGAGAGTAGTGCCTATCCATAAAAGTGGTGACACTACTTTGGTTTCTAACTATCGCCCAATATCATTGCTCCCTGTATTGTCAAAAATCTTAGAAAAATGTGTCCATACGCAACTTTGTGAGTACTACCAACAATTAAACTATCTGACCCCTGATCAATCGGGCTTTCGCCAGAATCACTCCACTACAACTGCCCTCCTAAAAGTTTGCAATGACATCCAAACTGGCATGGAACAAGGAGCCCTAACAGGAGCTATTTTCCTTGATTTTGCTAAGGCCTTTGACACAGTAGACCACGACATCCTACTGCACAAACTCGAAAACTCAGGTATTGGTGATCATTCTTTAAACTGGTTTCGATCGTATGTATCGGATCGCTCGCAATATGTGTCCATTTCTGACAGTGACTCCCTCCCTCTCCCAGTCACGTGTGGTGTTCCCCAGGGTTCCATTCTCGGCCCCCTACTATTTACATTTTTTATAAATGATCTGCCTAATGTCTGCCAATCCTCAAATGTACACATGTACGCAGATGACACGGTAATCTATGCGAGCAAATCCAATCTACCTCAACTTGAGGCTTTGCTCCAAGACCAGTTTACAGAGGTAGAAAAGTGGATCGCAAAAAACAAACTCTTCCTGAACACTGACAAAACTGTCACAATGATCTTTGGAACGGTACCTAAATTACACAAATTACACAATCCCCACCTATCCATCAAAACAAATTCAAATGGCACACTGACCGCGGTCCACTCTTTCAAATACTTGGGTATGATATTAGACCCCAATCTATCTTTTAGCCTGCACATAGAAAAGCTTGCATCTAAACTTTATCCAAAATTAGGTGCCCTGTACAGAAACAAAGCCTGCCTAAGCCCTACAGTAAAGGAAAAGATTGTACAGCAAATGCTGATGCCAATCATTGATTATGGGGATGTAGTATATGCGTCTGCATCGCAATCCCACATTAATAAACTCAACACATTGTATAACTCGTTCTGCAGATTTGTGCTACAATGTAATTACAGGACCCATCATTGTGACATGCTAAAGGAACTAAACTGGCTGTCGCTGGAATCCAGACGCACCCTTCATCTTTCCAGCCTTGTTTTTAAGAGCTTTTCTGGGAAACTCACACCCTACCTGAACAAAATGCTTTCCCCAGCTGTTCCCACTTTCTATAAGCTCCGATCCAGTACAAGCACTTTACTTAGTCTACCTCAATACAAAAAGAAAGCGGCCCGATCCTCCTTCTCCTACAGAGCGCCGCAATTGTGGAACGACTTCCCGCACAATTTAAAATCTTCCCTAAGCCTAAAGTCATTTAAGAGATCCCTCTCTACATACCTCAAAACAGAATGCACGTGTTATGGTTGATTATATATTTCCTGCCTGTTCTATGTAAAATTTTGTATATATTGTGTATTTATATTGTTTTTGTATTTTGTTGTACCTAATGTAACAATGCAATGATTTGTGGACCCAGGACATACTTGAAAACGAGAGAAATCTCAATGTATCTTTCCTGGTAAAATATTTTATAAATAAATAAATATCTTTAAATGTACTTTTTTGGCATCTTTTATCTGCTACCTTTAAAATGGAATAAAAAATAAAATAAAAAAAGTAATTTTTATATAATGGTTTTCCTTTCAAAAGAAACTCAATGCAAATAACCTATGCACATTACATAGGTCAGGGTATAAAATTTCCACGTGCCACTAGCCAGTAAAATTTACCTCTGGTATGTATGTTATGGCTTACAGTGGAGAGTAACTTAAGGTCAGGCACAGGTTGTGTTGCAGGGAGGTTCCCTGCCTTCTGTCACATAACTGCACAAAAATCACTGCAACTAAAAGTCTTCCCCTTTACAAACAAGCATGATAGGAGTAAACTATATTTCATCATCATATATGTAAAGTGTGCTCATGCAGACTGCGACAAAACCGTTCCAAGTCCTTCCCCTCTCTGTCCAGCTCTAGTCCAAGAACTGAAGTCATGGCGGCACAAATGCTCTGCAGTAACTCAGTAGATGCTAGTGAAGTCATACCCTTATTCAAAACAATGAATTGGTCTATCATACTGATAGTAACCGTTTGGCTGCTGTCGGCTTATTGAATATTTTCACTTACATATGGAATTAATGGAACCCATGCCCCAAGCTGAACTGTATCTCAAATCTCTGAGACAAAGGTGTATGGGATGAGATCCAACTCCACAGACCAACCTGATTGGTTAGGCCTCTTCCTGCTCTGTGTAGAGTTCACTGCTGATTGCAGTGAGGGAACTGAAGCAAATTTAAAACAGAGCATTTTTTTCCTTTTTAAATTATTTTTTTGCATTTTTGTTAACACTACATTTACCTACATAATTCATTAGAGCGAGTTCCTTTATTATCAACTCTAACTTTGGTTGTTTCATACTTTGCATTTTTTTTTCTTCTCCCTAAAACTATAGGTCTATTATTTTTGTAACTAATTAACTGGTTACTGATACTGAAATGTGTTTAACCCCTTAAAAGACCACTCTAGGCACCCAGACCACTTCAGCTTAATGAAGTGGTCTGGGTGCCAGGTCCAGCTAGGGTTAACCCATTTTTTAATAAACATAGCAGTTTCAGAGAAACTGCTATGTTTATTAATGGGTTAAGCCTTCCCCCGAATCCTCTAGTGGCTGTCTCATTGACAGCCACTAGAGGCGCTTGCGTGCTTCTCACTGTGATTTTCACAGTGAGAGCACGCCAGCGTCCATAGGAAAGCACTGATAAAGCTTTCCTATGCGACCGGCTGAATGCGCGCGCAGCTCTTGCCGCGCGTGCGCATTCAGCCGACGGAGCGGATCGGAGGAAGAGAGAAGGAGGAGAGCTCCCCGCCCAGCACTGGAAAAAGGTAAGTTTAAACCCCTTTCCCCTTTCCAGAGCCGGGCGGGAGGGGGTCCCTGAGGGTGGGGGCACCTTCAGGGCACTATAGTGCCAGGAAAACGAGTATGTTTTCCTGGCACTATAGTGGTCCTTTAAGGACACATGACATGTGTGGCATGTCATGATTCCCTTTTATTCCAGAAGTTTGGTCCTTAAGGGGTTAAAGCACATGCTATCAAAAATGTTGGATTAAAATTCATATTTTATTGTAGAGTAACTTCTTAAACTGATCCTACAATAAATTAAGAAAAATTGTAGCAAAACAAATGTCAAGCAATCATGCTAAAATACAAAGTTACTGATTGTATTATAAGATGAGCAAGACAACAATGAACTTTGTATTTTAGTGTAACATTAAAAGACCACTCTAGGCACCCAGACCACTTCAGCTCTAGGATTAACCCATTTTTTTTATAAACATAGCAGTTTCAGAGAAACTGCTATGTTTATAATAGGGTTAATCCAGCCTCTAGTGGCTGTCTCATTGACAGCTGCTAGAGGCGTTTGCGTGGTTCTCACTGTGAAAATCACAGTGAGAAGACACCAGCGTCCATAGGAAAGCATTGGCTGAATGCGCTCGCAGCTCCTGCCGCGCATGCAGCCGAAGAGGAGGATCGGAGGCGGAAAGGAGGAGGAGAGCTCCCCGCCTGGTGCTGAAAAAAGGGTAAGTTTAACCCCTTTCCTCGCCATCCAGCCCAGCGGGAGGAGGACCCTGAGGGTGGGGGCACTATAACGAGTATGTTTTCCTGGCACTTTAGTGGTCCTTTAAAATATAAGTACGACTCTAAAACATCAAACACACAATTACAAAATACATGGCAATGAAAATTGCTGCAAGTCTAAGACAACCCCAAACAGTTGTTAAAGGACCACTAAAGGCACCCAGATGACTTCATCTTAATGAAGTGGTCCGGGTGCAGTGGCCCTGTCCTTTGAGACCTTCCATGTAAAACACTGCAGTTTAGCAGATACAGAAACGTTTTAAATCGAAAGGTTAAAAACTACTCTAGTAGCGGTCTTCCTGACAGCCACTATAGGCACTTGTGCTGCAATGAACAAGCTTCAGTCATGGGACGTTCGATGACCAGGACGTTGAATGTCATCAAATGCAGCTCCCTATCAGAAGCATTTGTTTAGAAGTTCACACACACACACACACACACACACACACACACACACTGTTCCCAATGACATTAAATTGAAAAAGAAGACCAAATGAAATCACAAGAGGAAGCACAGAGTGAGTCTCAGTGCAATTAAAAAAAACAAAAATTTTTTTTTTTTTTTTTTTTTAACATGGCAATTTGGGGCTGGAACTAACTAGCACAGTATAGAGCGTTGGCAATACCGGTTTGTATTCCTAACACTATAGTGTTTCTTTATTCGGTGTGCATAGCTTGGGTTCAGCATATCAAGGTACAGACTGGAGCTGTGCCGAGACCCTAAGACTAACCATCAAAAAAATAAATAAATAAAAAGTAAACAAAAAAGAAGTTTTTTCCTTCACCACATTAAATAGTGTTGTATAATACAAGGGGAGAAAAAAAAGAAAAAGAACACACCACACTTTGCTGCACTTCCACAATCTGTTAAACTGTCTCAAGCATCTACCGAGATATTTACAGCTATAATCAAAATTATTCAACCCCATTGAAAACCAAGTTTATTGCCAAAAGTTAGACTTTCAGCGGTTTGTTATGAGCAAATTAAACAAAAGCACTTGAAATAGCTCAACACAACTAAAAATGCAACTTATGGCTTCTCCAATCCTCAGCGATCCTGAGGAATCTTAATCCATTGCTCATGAGCAATAGCCTCCAATTCAGTAATATTCTTGGGTTTGCGTTCTACAACTACCTTCTTCAAATCCCACCAGGGATTTTTTTTATGTATTTTTTTTTTATTGTACGTCTTCGAGTTCTGGCATTGAAACCTTCTGCGTTTTGTACACGCCTTACTAAGCTCACTGAAATCTCAGTGGCTATGGCCATCAAGTCGTGCTGTAGGTCTCTTGCAGTCAAGAGTTTTTCACAACCTGCATTCTGAGAAATCTGGTTGCAGCCATTATTACCGTATATACTCGTGTATAAGTCGATCTCATGTATAAGTCGAGGGCAGTTTTGTGACCAACAATTGTGAAATATGCTATGCCTCGTGGATAAGTCGAGGGTAAAACTTGGGACTATGAAATTCTGTGATTTTAGAATTATATACACACACACTCATACAAACACACTCTGCATTATATACACACACACTCATACAAACACACACACTCATAAACAATGCATTCTACACACACACTCATACAAACACACATACTCTGCATTATATACGCACACACTCTGTGTGTATATAATGCAGAGTGTGTGTGTGTTTGTATGAGTGTGTGTGTAGAATGCAGATTGTTTATGAGTGTGTGTGTATATAATGCAGAGTGTGTGTTTGTATGAGTGTGTGTTTGTGTGTGTGTGAACTGGGTGGAAGGAGGGCATTTTTATTATAAATTTTTTATTTTAATATTGTAAGTTTTTTTTTCTTTTATTTTATTTGAATATTTAAGGTTTTTATTTTTTAATATTAAGTTTTTTCTTTTCTTTTATTTGAATATTTAAGGTTTTTATTTTTTAATATTAAGTTTTTTCTTTTATTTTATTTGAATATTTAAGGTTTTTATTTTTTATTATTAATTTTTTTCTTTTATTTTATTTGAATATTTAAGTTTTTTTTATTTTAATATTTTAATTTTTTTTATTTTAATAGTTTTTATTGTATTTTTTTTTTGTATTTTTAATTTAATTTTTGTCACCCCTCCCTGCTTGTTAGCTGGCCAGGGAGGGGGGCTCTCACTCCCTGGTGGTCCAGTGGATGGGCTGTGCAGGAGGGGGGGGCTGACGGTGAGAGGTTACTTACCTTCCTGCAGCTCCCTTCTCCTCCGTGCAGCTCTTCTGACAGCTCCCACTGGAAGTCTCGCGAGAGCCGCGGTGACCCCGCGGCTCTCGCGAGACTTCCAGTGGGAGCTGTCAGAAGAGCTGCACGGAGGAGAAGGGAGCTGACAGTAGCTGCAGGAAGGTAAGTAACCTCTCACTGTCAGTCCCCAACAGGACCGCCGGGCTTGTAATGAGCCCGGCGGTCCTTGTCTGTATTATGGCAATGTAAATTGCCATAATACAGACATTAACTCGAGTATAAGTCGAGTGGGGGTTTTTCAGCACAAAAAATGTGCTGAAAAACTCGACTTATACTCGAGTATATACGGTAACTTCCTTTTTTTGCCTCATCCAGGTAGCGTAACCACTATTCCTTCAACTTTGAACTTGCGAACTATGCTTCCAACAGTGTCTTTAGGAACATTCAGTGCCTTCACTATCTTTTTGTATTCCTGTTCCTTGTTTGTGAAGGGTGATGATCTCCTCTTAACTTTGTGGACCATTCTTTTGACATACAAAAGAATACATATTTCTAACATGCCGTCAAATGTCACACTCAACAAACCTCTAGTCAGTTCAGGTATTTCAAGTGTCCCAGGTCAAGCACACCTGTTGCAACTAATGAAGCCCATGATTAGTTGTTTCAGGTGTGCTTGAGACAACACCTGTTTTGCATATGTGTGCTGTTGCAAGGGATTCCATTCAGGGTTGAATAATTTTGAGATTGGAAAAGTCATAAGTTGCATTTTCAGTTAAGTTTGGCGAAACCACTTGAAGCATTTGTTGTTTTGAGCGATTTCAATTGTTTTATTTGTTCATTGGAGACAGCTGAAAGTCTGTAAACTTTGACAATAAACCCGATTTTCAATGGGGGTTAAATAATTTTGATTACAACTGTAGTAAGTGCACCTGTTTTTTCCAGCAGTGCTATTCCAGCAATGTTAATAGCAAAGTATGGAAATTAGAATTAATCTACATGTGTAAACTGATGACGGACATGGTATAGCTGCTATCAATTTCCCTTTAAAATAATTAAAGTGGATCAAGAATTGAATAACACATTAAAATATGTCAAACACTATTCGTAAATGAACATTATAGTCACCAGAACAACTACAGCTTACTTTAGTTGCGCTAGTGTGTATAGTATGTCCCTGCAGGCACTTTCATGTAATCACTGCCTCCTTAGAGAAAAGGCAGCATTTACATTGCAGCCTAGGAACACCTACAGTGGCAGTCACTCAGAAGGTCATTAGAGACACTTCCTGGGTCAGTGCTGTAATGTTCAGCGTCTCCACGCTCTGCATGGAGACGCTGAACTTAACTCATAAAGACGCACTGATTTAATGCATCTGTATGAGGAGATGCTGATTGCCAGAGCAGCATTTGGCTTAGCCCACCTCCTTGGAGGACCCATTGTAAATGGCTAAGATCATTCATTCTGATGTAAGCCAAGGGGGCCAGCGTGGGAAAAAGCCAGCGTCAGCAGACCTGTGTGGTGCTGAAATAAGGAAAGTTATTTCTATATATAAGGCGACAAAAAGGGCTAAATAGTGTTTTTAATGCTATAGGGTCAAGAATACAGGTTTGTGTTCCTTTAACCAACTGATTTCGAACAACTGCAAGAAACTAGAATAATGTATTAAAAATCAATTAAAACACACTCCCATACACGTAATATTAAACGCCTGGAAACGTAAGTCATACAGAACTCAGGATTTCCCTGCAAACTGCTCCATTCACCCAGCAATGCAAAAATCATGAATAATAAAATAAGGCTAAAAGAGTTTGTAACTTATGTAATCATAAGTTATGGTATTTTGGAATTAAAAAAAGGAAACCCTCTTGTATAAACATCCACAGTAATTAAAGTTAATAAAACAGATAATCATGTGTTGCATTGAATAGCATAGGGGATTTTCATGGGTAGGGAAATAGGATAGAACACCGGGACAAAAATGCATGGACTGTCAAATCTTGCGATTTACCCAACTCTTTGTTAAATGGGTAAATGCATTGCTGAGAATTTAAAAGCTCCCCTCTGTACAAGATTACATCAATGGACAAACAAAGCATATGACATGTACACCAAGGATGGATATTGTACATTAAATGATATTAAGTCTGTTTATTAATGATCTTGTACATTTTTTTTTTTTATTGCTTTATTGTGTAAAAGTAACAGTACAGGTGATCTTGTACATTTATATGTAGAGATGTCGCCAACTGTGCGCCGGCGAACAATAGCGTGTTCGCGTTGGGCGAACATATCCGATTTCCGGTCCGCCCCCTATACGTCATCATTGAGTAAACTTTGACCCGGAACCTCACAATCAGCAGACACTTCCTGGGAGGGAGGGTCTGCTGCTGATTGGGTGGAATGTGTCTGCTGGCTGTGAGGTTCCGGGTCAAAGTTTACTCAATTATGACGTATAGGGGGCGGACCGGAAAGCGGATATGTTCGCCCAACGCGAACACACTATTGTTCGCCGGCAGACAGTTCGCGACATCTCTATTTATATGCAATTGAAAAATATTTAAGGCCAATTAATGTGTTCTTAATGTATAGACTGCATTAAAGGATGTAGAAAGTCTCTGTTAACCTATATTATACTAAAGGCAACATATTTTGCATTAGATGCCATAGAAAACTGATAAGAATTATCCATATAAATGTGAATAGATCTATCGCTATCGTATTAAAGGATATATAGGGTAATCAGAAGTGTCCATGTTAACATATATTAGAGTACCAGCAATACACTGACAATCATCTTATGTGTGTATATACACTGTACCAAGGTAGCAGAATATATAGACAATGTCATGAAAAACAAAGGGTGCTATTTTACAGAGGCACATAAAGAGTACAAAAAAAAGGCAAAAGGATGCACACCAAACTTAGTATTCATAAACAAAGAACAATCTTTATTACATAAAAAGCAATACACAAATAAACAGCCAATACTAGAACAGAGAAACAAAAGTTTGTGATAAAGGCAAATATAAAAAACCAAAAAAAAAAAAAAAAACAAACACAATCCTGATAGTATTCAGCAAACAAAACTTAAATAAAGCCTGTGAGGGCTGGACACATGTGATACTACAAACCCAACATTTCAGCAGCAATAAATGTGCCTCTCTCAAAGCACAGTGTCCCCCTTAGGCTTTATTTGAGATTGATGTTTGTATATGAATATTGAGTTCGGTGTGCATCCTTTTGCCTTTATATATATTGTACTGAAGGACATGTGTATATAATGATACCAATCACACAGGAGGCAGAGGAGAAGGGTCCCTATTAAAGCACATATAATCGCTGTAATGCTTTGATAGCCTGTGTGGAGGATAAAGGCCCCCCTGTCGGTGTGTGAGAGGGCCCCCCGGTATCCTGCCCTCCCCAGGCCCAGCTCTGGCTGTCAGGGACTGGGTGACCTTCTCAGGGCAGCTCCCTGTTAATGACCTCCACCAGGCCCTCAGCCACATCCCTCCCCCTCCCCCCCAGAGACCATTAACTAGCCACCCACAGTCACCCTGCCGCACGCTCTGCCGGGCGGTGCCCGATACCCACCGAGCGAGCCTTGAACAAAGCTTTGCTCGCAGCGCTGCCGGCTCTGCACACAGACGTCGCCATCTTCCAGCTGACAGGGACAGGAAACAGCGAGCCTGCGCGGGTAACAAGCAAGAACGGCTCTCAGGTCAGAGCGCTCGGCAGCGACATCTACAGGACGGAGGCCAAACTGCAGGAGCTTTAATTCAATGGCTAATAGGAGAACCCCATGCTTTACTTACTAAACAGCGATCTGCCTCGCTGTAGATGATATACAAGGTTGAGGGGAATGGTCCCATGTGAATGAAACATTTATTTAATTGAGCTAAAAACTGAATTTTAAGATTTAGGCAAAAAATGGTTGATTTGGAAAAAATTTCCCAACTAAACCATGTTAAGAGATTTTATTTATTTATTTATTTAGCCAAAGTTTTGCAGTGTGGTTTTAATAGACTATTCAATACAATTCGGTGTTTAGCAACTAAACCGGTACTTGTCGGCTAGCCTGGATTTCCCAGGAAAGTTATTTTTGACCTTTTAATTTAATGTGTTTTTTTTGTGCTACTAGGGAGACTTTCTACTGGCTGGCTCAGTGTCGTTAAATGATGAAGCAATCAGGGCTTTTCTATAGTGGAGTGTCCCTTTAATGTGGAATTATACCACAAGCTGCAGAAATGTGTATCAGTCACCTGCTAACAACTGTCATCTTCTGCAGACGTGTTAAAATAATTGTATTAAATGTGTGGAAATGTATATGTGGAACCGTCGAAAGTGGGCATGTTCGGCTGCCTAGTACTATTTATTTGATCACTCTGCTTCAAACTGTCAGTGAAATCGCTTTTTTCTTAAATGGTAACAAATATGTAAATCCCATTGAGGGAGTTGTACAAATGCTAAGTGTAGGCTTCGTAATAGAGTAATGGTCTCTAAACAGCTTCTTTGTGGTAAAAAACAAAACAAAAGCCATGCAGGGTTATTCACTAAAGTGAGTATTAAATGTGAATATCAAATTTGAAGGAACACTCCGGGCACTTAATCAAAATTAAGTTGTTATGGTGCCAGGAAGTCCCCTGAGTTGGCCGAACTTTAGAGGTTAAACCATTCTCGAATGATTTAACCCCAAAATCTGTGTTACAGTGCTGGATCTCGCTGGTCCTCTATTATTCCATTTGCTCAAATTCTGGAAATGTTCTGGCAACAGTGTCTGTGATTGGCTGAGAGCGGTCAGCTGGCACTCTTAGTCAATCAGAGACTCCTCATTCATAAAACTGGCTTAAAAAGGAATATACCTTTTTCAAGCTGGTTTTGAGAAGAACAGAGGGCCTGAGAGCAGGGTCCGACTGTCCTACCTGGATACCGGAAAATTTCCTGGTAGGCCGCCTGCCCTGGGTCCACTGTGTGCTGCGTCTGCGATCAGCCTCGGCCCCAAGAGCTCAAAGCTTTTGTCCACTCCGGCCGCCGGATATGTGCATACAGAGTGTGAAGTCATATCAGGCGGCACTACAGTGCGACGAGTGTCTGTCTGTAGAGCACAAAGCCACTTTCCCTTCATCCTGCACTCAGTGCCAATGCGGCCTGCTAGAGCAGAGAGGAGCAGGGCTGGAACTTTAGGACGGCTCATCTTAAGGTAGGCTAAAAGGGGCTTGGGGGACCTTCCGGTAGTGCATTAAGTTGTGGGTAGGGAGAGGGGGTGATGTATTAAATTAGGGGAGGGGAGGTAGGAATGGTGGTGTATTGAATTGGGGGAGCAGGGAAGGAAGGGCAGTGTATTGAATTGGGGAAGCAGGGGATGAAAGGAAGTGCATTGAATAGGGGGAGCAGGGATGGGAGGGCAGTGTCTTGAATTGGGAGATGAGGAATGGGAGGGCAGTGTATTGAATTGGGGGAGAAGGGGAGGAAGGGCAGTGCATTGAATACGGGGAGCAGGGATGGGAGGGCAGTGTCTTGAATTGGGGAATCAGGAATGGGAGGGCTGTGTATTGCATTGAGGGAGCAGGAAAGGGAGGGCAGTGTATTGAATTGGGATAGGAGCAGGGGAGGGAGTGTATTGAATTGAGGGAGCAGGAAAGGGAGGGTAGTGTATTGAATTGGGATAGGAGGAGGGGTGGACTTTTTGGCTGGCAAAAAATGCTGTTCCCTTAAAGGGACACTATAGTCACCTGAACAACTTTAGCTTAATGAAGCAGTTTTGGTGTATAGAACATGCCCCTGCAGCCTCACTGCTCATTCCTCTGCCATTTAGGAGTTAAATCCCTTTGTTTATGAACCCTAGTCACACCTCCCTGCATGTGACTTGCACAGCCTTCCATAAACACTTCCTGTAAAGAGAGCCCTATTTAGGCTTTCTTTATTGCAAGTTCTGTTTAATTAAGATTTTCTCATCCCCTGCTATGTTAATAGCTTGCTAGACCCTGAAGAGCCTCCTGTATGTTATTAAAGTTCAATTTAGAGATTGAGATACAATTATTTAAGGTAAATTACATCTGTTTGAAAGTGAAACCAGTTTTTTTTTTTTCATGCAGGCTCTGTCAATCATAGCCAGGGGAGGTGTGGCTAGGGCTGCATAAAAAGAAAAAAACTGATTTAACTCCTAAATGACAGTGAATTGAGCAGTGAAATTGCAGGGGACTGATCTACACACTAAAACTGCTTTATTTAACTAAAGTAATTTAGGTGACTATAGTGTTCCTTTCAGAGGCCCTGGTACATGCCTTGTTAACCTCTTTCATGGGGGACCCAAAAGCTGGCCACCTGGCCACTTCAGGGTCCCCCAGAGGCGGGCGGCTGCCAATATTGCAGGTGGGTGGGCATCGGGGAGAGCCATCTTCTGAGGTCTTCCTGCTCAGCTCCCTCATGTGCCCAAAGGTCATGCCGGAGCCGGAATATGATGTAATTTCGGCCATCAGCATCACTAAGCAGCACATGAGAGAGCTGAACAGGAAGCTTACAGCTCCCTCGCCGCATGCATTGACCGGCCGCCCATCCACCCTGCAGCACAGGAGTCCAGCAGTTGCCAAACAGCCCAGCAGCCACTAGCCAGACCAGGAGAGAGTCCAGGAGGCAGCAGCAGCCCCACTGGACCCCCAGGAAAGAATCCACTCTAGCTCTCCCAAAGGTAGGGAAGCTGGGTGGATTTAAATTACTGCAAAAATTAAAAACATTTTGTGCTTGTGTGAGGCAATGTTTGTGAGTGTGAGTCTGTCAGTATCCACGTGTGTCTCTGTCAGTGAATGTGTGTATGCCAGTGTATATTTGTTAGTAAGTGTATGTCTTTCAGTGAATCTGTGGGTGTCTATTAGTGTGGCCGCTGGAACAGCCAGGAGCCAGCTTCCGCCTGCAGCTGCCGGAACAGATAGCTCCCCTTGCGGCCGCCAGCACACCTGACCCAGCTGTCTGCCCTGCAAGACTTCTGTCCGATCGCCCACAGATAGCTATATTATGTGTCAGTGTGTGTGTGTGTCTGTGTATGTGTCATGGTGTGTGTGTATGTCTGTGTCTGTCTGTCATGGTGTGTGTGTGTGTGTCAAGGTGTGTGTGTGTCATGGTGTGTGTCTGTCTGTCATGGTGTATGTCTGCGTCATGATGTGTGTTTGTCTGTCTGTGTCATGGTGTGTGTGTGTCTGTCTGTCTGTGTCAAGGTGTGTGTGTCTGTGTCATGGTGTGTGTCTGTCATGTTATGTGTGTGTCTGTCAAGGTGTGTGTGTCTGTCAAGGTGTGTGTGTGTCTATCATGGTGTGTGTGTGTCTGTTAAGAAATGTATGTGTCTCTCAAGATATGTGTGTGTCTGTCATGGTATGTGTGTGTCTGTCATGGTGTGTGTGTGTGTCTGTCATGGTATGTGCGTCTGTAAAGGTGTTTTTGTGTCTGTCAAGGTGTGTGTGTGTCTGTCATGGTGTATGTCTGTGTCATGATGTGTGTGTGTCTGTCTGTGTCATGGTGTGTTTGTGTGTCTGTCTTTCTGTGTCAAGGTGTCTGTGTCAGGTATACCTAACATTCATGCTGCCGCCGGAACCCACTTCCGGGTTCACGGCGCTTAGCTCCGCCCCTTTTTTCTGACGCAGTCTTTCCACGATACTTAGGAAGACCGCGCCAGATTCAAAGTGCTGGATTATTCACTCAGGTGCGGCAGTGAGATCAGCTGCTCTACTCGATGCTACCGGCTCCACTTCTCAGACCTCGGCTTGTAAACGGATTTCTACCTTCTCATCTCTCAGACCTCGGCTTGTAAACGGATTTCTACCTTCTCATCTCTCAGACCTCGGCTTGTAAACGGATTTCTACCTTCTCATCTCTCAGACCTCGGCTTATAAACGGAATTCTACCTTCTCCTCTCCCAGACCTCGGCTTGTAAACGGATTTCTACCTTCTCCTCTCTCAGACCTCGGCTTGGATAAACGGACTTCCTTTCTCTCACTACTAAACTGCAGTTTGTTAAAAGAGACTCCTTCCTCTTCCTCCATTGGGTGAATTAACCCTTCCAGTGCCAGAGTGCTTCTAAGTTAAGTAAATCTTTTGTCAAGGAAAGCAAGTCATATCAATTTATTATAGTATTTAATTTCTTTAAACTCTCTGTTGACAAATAAGGATTGCTGCTAAGGCTAAAACTTCATTATTAAAATTCAAGTTGGAACTAACTTGGCATTTTCCTGATTATTATTTAAAGATACAGTCCACTGATTTCACTCCAATATAATAGGAGGTGAAACTTACTGTTCCTGCCCTCAGAATATTCTGCAGTTGAGTTCCAATTAAAGAGGTATTACACAAAAGCATCACAGAATAATCCAGCCTTTTCAATGGAACCAGCAGATATTAACTCACAAGTTTCTGCCCTAACCAATAGAGTGGATACGATTGCTCAAGGGTTACAGGAACTGCAAATCACGAATGAGAGAATATTAACCTATGTTAGAGACATGCAAGGCCATCTTCCTCATGCCGCTCTTCAATCGGCTGGTGATCCTGCTGTCTGTAATCCAGAAAAATTTTATGGAGATAGAACAAAGTACAGAGAGTTTTTGAATTCTTGCAAACTTCTGATAGCTTTAAAATCTAGATCTTATCTCACTGAAAGATCAAAAGTTTGTTCAGTAATTTCTTTTTTAAGAGGTGAACCTATGGCATGGGCCCATTCCTTTTTAGAGAATGATGATCCCATATTAGATTCAT